TAATGACTGTGGATTTCTTATCAGAAACCATAAAGGTTAGGAGGGAGTGGCACAATTTTTCAAGTGCTGAAAGAAAAGAACTGTTCATCAGAAACTGCAGTCTAGACAAAATATCTTTAGAAAGGAAGGAGAAACTAAGACATTTTCAGATGAAGGAATATTCTGAGAGAATTTGTCACCACAAGGCTTGTATGCTGAAAACTAGGAATGAATTAAAAAATTCTTTGTTCATGCTTTAGATTATTCAACATAGTAAAGGCATCAATTCTACTCAAATTGATAGGTAGGTGTGATGAAATTCTTATCAAAATACCAGCAAGAATCTTTTGTAGATAGAGAGGTTATTCTAAAATTTATGTTGAGAGCAAAGGAACTAGAATAGCAAAAACAATTTTGAAACAGAATAAGGTGGGAGGAAGCAATTCACCTAATTTTAAGACATATAATGTACCTACAGTAATCAATACTGTGTGGTATTGGTGGAAGACATACAAAACAGATCAAGAAACTGGAAGCAGACCTTTCCAAATATCCCAACTGATTTTCATGTAGGAAAGATAGTCATCATCATTAGACATTAGGGAAATGCAAATTAAAATCATTATACATCAGGTAAACTAAAGTAAAAAATAGTGACAACTCCAATTTCAGACATTTCATTGGAGGTAAGATAGATTTTCAACAAATGGTGCTGAAGTCATTTGCCACAATAAGCAAAAACATCATTCAATCTAAGTCTCATACCTTATAAAAAAAAAACTCAAATTGGAATTGAGTTATTGAATACAGACTTAAGTATAAAAATTTTAGGAAAATAAAAATAAATGCTTCCAAAGGTAGGATCTAAATCTTAGACATAACATCTAAAACACAAACCTTAAAATTGAAATTTGGATTTTGTCCAAATTAAAAATCTTTGCTTGCAGAAAAGTTCCTTGTAATTAGAATGAAAAGACAATCTACCACTGGGTAAAACTATTTGCAATCCATATATCTGAAAAAGGACTGGTATATAGAATACATAAATAGCTGTCAAAACTCATTAGTAATAAAAAATTCATTAGATTCTAATAGATGAAAGATATTAAGACATTTCACTGAAAAGATTTACAGGTAGAAAATAAGCACATGAAAAGATAGTCATCATCATTAGACATTAGGGAAATGCAAATTAAGATCATGAGACATCAGAATAATTAAAGTAAAAAATAGTGACAACTCCAATTTCAGACAAGGATGTAAATAAACTAGATCACTCCTACATTGCTGGTGAGACTGTAAAATGGTACAGCCGTTCTGGAAAACAGTTTATTTTTTAAAAGCTAAACATGTAATTTCTATACAACCTAGCTATTGCACTTCTGGGCATTTATCCCAGAAAAACAAAAACTTATGTTCACATAAAAATCTCTACATAGATGTTTATAACAACTTTATTCATGATAGACAAACCTGGAAACAACCCAGATGTCCTTCAATGGGTGAATAGTTAGACAAACTGTGATACATCCATACTGCATTATTTCTGTTGTTGCTGTAATAAGTTACCATAAACTTAGTGACTTAAAATATTATCTTACAGTTTTGGGGATCAGAAGTATGAAATAAGTCTCATTTGGCTAAGGACGCAGGGAGATCTGTACATGTCCTGCAAACTCTAGGGCAGAATTCATTCTCTCGCCTTTCCCAGTTCCTAGAGACTGCTACATTTCATGATTTATGACCACTTCCATCTTTAAAGCCAGCAACATAGCATTTGCAACTTGTTTCTAACTCTCTCTGTCTGCCTGCCTCCTACAAGAATCTTTGTGATTGTATTAGGCCAACTCTGATAATCCAAGACAATCTTATCTCAAACTTCTTCACTTAATCACATTTGCAAGGTCCCTTTTTTGTCATTTAAGGTAACATAGTCACAGGTTCCAGGAATTAGGATCTGGACATCTTTGGAGAGATTATTATTATGCCTGCCACACATAACCAGGAATACTATACAGCAGGAAAAAAGAATGGACTGTTTGTTACATGCAAAAACCTGGAAGTATTTCCAGAGAATTGGGCCTCCCAGGTGGTGCAGCAGTTGAGCGCTGGGTTGCAAAGCTGCCCGCAGCCTCTGCAGCACCGGTTCAATCCCTGGCAGCCGGCAAGGGTCCCACATGGCGCGCAGAACTCTCCTGCTGTGCCCGCTGCTCCCCTCAGCAGTGTACTTCATCAGTCTGCCTGTTCTGCTCTCCGCTTCTGGCTCTGGTGAATTCTCTCCCCCTCTTGTGCTTCTGACTGTACCCAGTGCTTGTATAAATAAATAAATAAATCTTTAAAAAAAAAAAAAAAAGAATTTCCAGAGAATTACACTAAGTGAAAAACTATCCAATCCCAAAAGGTTTCATACTCTGATTCCATTTATATAATATTCCTGAAATGACAAACTTAAGGAAGTGGAAAATAGATTAGTTGTTACTGGGGGTGACAAAAAGTATGGGGACAGGTGGGAAGTGGATGTGGCTTTAAAGGGGCAACATGAGGAAACCTTGCAATGATGGAAATGTTCTGTTTTGTGACTCAGTATCCTTCACAACATCAGTATTCTATTTGTGATATTCTACTATAGCCCTGAAATATATCACCATTGGGAAAACTGGGTAAACAGTACCTCAATCTGTCTTGTTATTTCTTATTATTGCATTATCTCAAAAAGTTAAATTTAAATAAAAAACAGAGGGGCCATTTTCCATCAGATTTTATGAGAGCAGAATTAACTTGATACCAAAGACATTATAAGAAAAAGAGTGACAAATATTCCTCATAAACAAATGCAAAAATTCTTAGCAAAATGTTAGTAAATCAAATCATACAACATAAGAAAGTACATAATACTTAATGGGCACATGGGGTTCATCTGTGGAATGCAAGATTGGTTTGAACATTCACTGTATTAATGTATTAAATAAGAAAACTATATTATTCCCAGAAATGCAAAGAAATGTACATGAAATCTTGATTTTAAAATATCAGGAAAACAAGAATAAAAGGGACCATCCTCAACCTAATAAAAAAATCTCAGTTTTGGGAACTAAGCAAGGATATCCTTCCTTATCACTTTTAGTCATCATTAATACTTAGAAAGTCCTAAATTGTGCCTTAAGCAAGAAAAAGTTACACAGCTCAAATGGAGCCTCTTAAAAGAAAGGATTTAGTCTTTTAAATGATTTTTTCCTTTGTACTAAATTTAACCATTGTTATTTTATTAATCAACTATCTCTATGAAAAAATGTTATATAAATACTATACCACATAGAATAATGAATTATTATAGAACTACAGGCATGAGGAAGACCATATTGTCTCAAAAAGTTCATTTGGGTTCAACTATACAAGCAGTATGGTATAGTCACTATTCAGACACCTCTATTAGAAAGTAGAGATTCCAAGTAAAGAGAATGTTATTTTTTTTCTATTCTAATTCAATAATAGGATTCATTCAGCAATCAAGGAAATCTCCCAGAAGAGTCTAATTGTGGTTGGAAGTGACACACTTCGGTGGCAGACACAGTATACTTGCACCTGCCACTGGGCCTTGAGGTGGCCTCTGTCTCCTTCACAACCCACTGTTCTGGTCAGTTGCCTCAATACAGTTGAGGAAACATACGAATGAAGTCTATTTTCTATCCCTATTTCAAAGTCCATTTACTTAAGAGAAAAAAATATCTATAATCAGGCTATATTCATTCAGGCTAGTCTATCTGGAACTGAGCTGATTAGGGATGTCTAGCTTTTCTTTAAAATAGTAAGGTATTTACATATTAAAATATTCAGCCACCAGACTACAGTTCAGAAAGTGTGTATGTAATAAGTATACTCTCTCAGGGAAGTTCACAAAGAAGTTATTAGTCTTTTTTCTCTAATTTAGGAAATATGTTCATCCTAAGGAAGGTGTGCTTAATTCTTTTTAAGTTTCAAAAATTAAGAGAAAGAAATCAACCTAGAATTCCATGTTGCCAGTTTCCAATACCTAAAATCAATCCCATTTTAGCATTTTGCACCAAATGGGTGAAGCTTGCCTTAGTGTGTTTGGGCTGATATGATAGAATACCGTAGGCTGGATAGCTTATACACAACAGCAATTTATTTCTCTTACTGCTTAAGACTGGGAACACCATGATCAAGGCATCAATAGTGTCTGGTGAGTCACCTTTCTAGTTCCCAGACTGCCATCTTCTCATTGCGCCCTCACAAGACAGAAAGGGTAAGGGACCTCTCTGGGATCTTCTTTTAAGGGTGCTACTCCAACACCTAATTACCCGCCAGAAGACCCCATCCTGTCACACTGGGCATTAGGATCTAAACATAAGAATTGTAAGGGGACCCACATTCAGGCCATAACACAATCCTTATTGGGTACCCTAATCCCTTTGTAGAAACCACTGCAATACAGATAGGTGTTTGAGAAATTGCTAGAGATCCTTTTAACCAAAGTAACAAATCTTAATTTAAAAATGTAAAACTTTCATTGCAAATTTCATCTAGCAGTTGGAAGAAGAAAACTTAAAGTTGACTGTGTATCTAATACCTTGATTTCTGAGGGGAAATCTTGATTTGGGTGGGCTATAAACCTTGCAGTTTTTGGCTTCTTGTGTTTCTAAGCTGCATGCAAAAACCAGCAGGACTGCTGCAAAGATGGGAGGAGAGTCATGATGCTCAAGCCTTAGGGTAGAGTTGAATCAACACAAAATCCACAGGCAGCTTGAGATCCACAGCGCACCTTAACTTCTGTTAGTAGGAGGTATAGACACTGATGTCACTGAAGCAGTGACAGCTACTTTAAATGCTTTAAATGACCAGCTTCTATGAGACAAACCTCCCAAATCAACAGATAGGACCAGTCACTGTGCCACCCACCCCCGAGTCACATCCTATATGCCTAAATGCCGCGAGGTCCTCAGAGCCAGTTGTTTCCAGGGACTTGCTCCCATTCACTCTTTCTTGTCTCCCCTTGTCCTCAGGGGGAGCTGACCATGACCAGCGACATGGAGAACTTGCAGAATGCCCTGTACCTAGACACAGTGCCCGAGGCCTGGGCCCGGCGAGCCTACCCTTCCACAGCAGGCCTGTCAGCCTGGTTTTTGGACCTCCTTAACCGCATCAAGGAGCTGGAGGCTTGGATTGGAGACTTTGCAATGCCCTCCACTGTGTGGCTAACAGGCTTCTTCAACCCCCAGTCCTTCCTGACCGCCATCATGCAGTCCATGGCCCGCAAAAATGAGTGGCCACTGGACCAGATGGCACTGCAATGTGATGTGACCAAGAAGAACAGAGAGGAATTCAGGAGCCCTCCTCGGGAAGGGGCCTACATCCATGGCCTCTTCATGGAAGGGGCTTGCTGGGATGCTCAGGTAAAGCTAGGATGCACCAGAAGGCATCCTCTATGGGCTGATTAAATACACATAATTTCCCATAAATGTTCTGAAAGGGATGCCCCTGAAACTTTTTACCTAGATAACCTTTCCTTGAGATTGTCAAGCCATTATTATGCAGCCAGGGATGGTTTGAAGAGCTCAGGTTTTGCAAAGTAATTAGAAAGGAGTGGTTTAAAATAAGAGTTCTGACCCCAAAATACATAGAAGAAAAAATAGACAAAACACTCCAATACATTGGGCTCAAGGGTATCTTTGGGAAGTTGTTTCCAATGGCAAGGAAAACAAAAGCAAAAATAAACAAATAGGACTGTATCAAGCTAGAAATCTCTTGTACAGTGAAAGAAACTATCATTGCAACAAAAAGACACCCTACTGAATGGAGGAAAATTTTTGCATATCATACATCTGACAAAAGGCAGATATTCAAGATCTGCAAAGGACTGATACAACTCAACAAAAAGAAAATGAAGAACCCAATCAATAAATGGGCAAAAGAGTTAAACACTTTCCTGAAGAAGACTTACAGATTGTCAACAGGCATGTAAAAAATGCTCAGCATTACCATCTGGAAAATGCAAATCAAAACCACAATGAGATACCAGATCACTTCAGCGAGAATGACCCATATTAAAAAAAACAACAACAACAAATGCTGGTGAGGGTGTAGAGAAAAAGGAACACTGGTACACTGTTGATGGGAATGTAGACTGGACCAGCCCCTACAGAAATCAGTCTAGCAGTTTCTCAAAATACTAAAAATAGATATACTATTTGATCCAGTAATTACATTTCTAGGTATCTGTTCAAATAATATAAAAATCATTAATGCATATATGCACTATTCATTGCAATTATTTGCAATAGCCTAGTTATGAGAGCCACCTAAATTTCCCATCCACAGGCCAGTGGATTAAGATGTGGTATGTATACCGATGGAATACTACTCAGCTATTAAAAAAGATAAACTTGTCATTTGCAATAACATGGATGGAACTGGAGGATAATATGCTAAGTGAAACAAGTCAGAAGGAGAAAGACAAACACTGAATTTCACCTGTATGTGGACTATAGAAGGGGGAAAGGAACTGAGAAAACTAACCAAAACAAACCCTAGAAATATGACTACAGATGGGAGGCTGCTAAAGATGGGAGGCTGCTAAAGATGGGAGGGAGAGCTAGGATAGGGACAAGTTGGGGAGAGGGCCTAATGGCCTAAGTTAAAGTATTATGGGTGCTTTGATGCTGGGGATGGTGTGGTAAAGGTGTCTGGAAGTAGATTGCCTGGGTCTGAATCCCAGCCACACCTTTCATGAACTCTGTGATCTTGGGATTTAGTCCTACCTCTCCAAATCTTAGTTTACTCAACTGGTAAATGGGAAAATAGAGTCACATTGAAAATTAAATGAATTCATATACTGTGTAAAACCTTTAGCACAGTGCCTAGCACAAAGGGAGGAGTGCTCAAAAGGTGCTGTGTGACCTGGAGTTATTTCATTTCTCAGTCCACCTTCCTCATTCATGAGCTCTGGGAAAATAGGAATCCCATTTCCCTTGCACACCATTACCTGTCAGTAATGGGGAACCAGTAGATGTCATTTAAAGTGACATTTTTGAAAGGATTACTCACCGAAGGCTAATAAATATTTGAGTCATCAGAAGATCAGAGAAGATATTTTGTAGTAGATAGGAAACGCAAACAAGCACAGATAGCTGGGCTAAATGACATGAACAAGGATGGATAACTCTAGAACAAGTTTCCATTTGTTATATGCATGACCTGCTTAGTCAAATATTCCATTTGCCAAGTGACACTGAACTATTCATAGCTGTCAGTACAAAACTAATGGAGAAAAACTATTAAATGATCTAGAAGATACCAGGACATGTAAATAAGCATATAGAACTGGAGAGCATTGAATCATGCCCCCCCGCCCCAAATCCATGTCTGCCCAGAATCTCATATGACATTATTTGGAAATAAAGTCTTTTAAGGTAAAATTAAGATGAGGTGATACCAGCATAAAGTAGGCCCTAAACCCAATGAATAGTACTGTTGATGCACATATGGGCACACTACCCCATGACACAAAAGCCAAAAGTCATGCCACCACTTGCTGAGAAAAGAACCAGTTAAATGCAAGGTCACCTGGCAGGAAACTGAGACAAGGCTCAAATCAGCCTTCCCAAGGACTGGGCTTTGGGCGGTATTTACAGGGTTGAAGAACAAAGATAATATCTTTTAAAATGCACACTGGTAGAATCTATTCAGTTGCTTTCTCTGCTGAATCACGGTGTAACTAGAATTTGGGTCCAGCACTGCAACAAACTGAGCACTACTCACTATTGGTGATCATTCAAACTTTAAAGGGATTCATTTGTATGTGATAAATATCCCTACTTGAAGAGATTTAAGCTGAGAAATAGTAGAAATATATCTTCCATCTATCAAATGTATTCCATCTTAGGTTGTTGAGCGAGCCTGTGAAGGGACCTCTCATCTTTGGGATCTTCTGACAGATCTGGTCTAAGATGTTTTTATCTTCTTGTCTTCAGGCTGGGATCATTACAGAAGCAAAGCTGAAGGATCTGACACCCCCCATGCCTGTAATGTTCATCAAGGCCATTCCTGCAGATAAGCAGGATTGCCGTAGCGTCTATCCCTGTCCTGTATACAAGACTTGTCAGCGGGGGCCCACCTACGTGTGGACTTTCAACCTGAAGACTAAGGAGAATCCATCTAAGTGGGTCCTAGCTGGAGTAGCCTTGCTTCTCCAAATTTAGCTTCCTGCAGTCACTGAGAAAACGAAGCTAGTCTGGAACTGACCAGAGGGACAGGTGGGTGACACATAGAAAGGTAAGAAATCGTAAGCACTCACAATGCTGTAGAATTCCTTTAGGAAACTTGGAGAGAAGTGTCCAAAGTGAGACTAAGCTGTAAAAGTGTGAACCCAAGAACTAGGGCAGAATTTCCTAACACCAAGTCCTTCCTAATAAAGTGGTTTCTTCTTCAACTGTGTCTGGCCCAGGCTTTGAAAGTTTCAGTCATAAATGATCATGAAGAGAGCGAGAGAAAAGAGCCACAAACACTTAACCCCTGACAGTGTGACTTGGCACTCTGCTCAGTACCAGAGCACCTGTTATTTCATGGACTAGGGCCATTGGCATCACCCATGACAATCTGCATTTTAACAAGCTCGCTAAGTTAATCATATGCACGTGACATTTTGGGAAACATTCTAGATCATGGTCATCACACTTTTTTCTGTAAAGGAATAGACAGTAAATATTTTAGGTCTTGAGGTACATGCCGTTTCTGTTACAAATACTCAACTCTGCCATCATCTCTCAATGCAGCCATAGAGAATAAATAGGTGTAACTGAATTCCAACAAACCATTATTTGCAAAAACAGGCAGTGGGCCATATTTTGTTGATTACCACTCTAGAGCATAAGGGGAACATGTATGTGATAGTCATACTTCATTAATTCATACCTCTATTCAGCAAATTATCTAACAGCAATTTGCCAAGGACACAACCGTGAATGAGGCAGGTTGTTTCCTTGTGTATCTGTTATCCTTCAGACCATTTAAGAGGAACCCAAGGAGAAATCCTTCACTTAAAATTTTTAACATAGAATTTTGTAGATTTTCCTCTGTGGAACAAATTTTTTCTGGAAACCCAGAGTTCCACAGTTTTCATGAGTTTTAAAGAGCTCTGTGGGGAAGCCTGATTGGTAAGAAATGTCTGAGAGAAACCAGTACTCCAATTGGGATCATTTCCTTTTATTCTTGGAGAAACTTATTTTTGGATTAAGTACTATTTCGAACAGTGGTCCTTAAAATTAAGCAGGCATCAGAATACCCTGGAAGGCTTGTTGAACCAAGATTGCTGGGCCTCCACCCTTCAGTGTTTATGATTCAATGAACCTCACAAATTTTCCATGCTGCCAGATAAGGGGGCCACACAAATCCTGATGCCAAACATACAAATCTATTATGCAGAATACAAAATCTAGTGGCAATTCCTTCATGATTTTCCTGCTTTCTGCTCTGGTTTCTATATCTAAAGAGGGGACTTACTCTTCATCTTTACACTCTAGGGAGTTATAAAATTCCTCCTGGAGTTCAAAAGCTCCAACTTGAGCTTTGTCTCTTTTCTCTCATCAACCAGTAATGTACTTCTCATCATCTTGCCTATGGCATAATCTGTTTTCAGGGAAACAGCTCCATCCTCTTCATTAACATCATCCCTCTGACCCTCACTGAGAAAAATACAATCAGACAGGCAAGAGAAGGGCCAAGATGGAAGTATGTCACCAAATGAGAGCTGGACAGTTTGTGGCATGCGACTTCTATTGCCAAGAACAAGTGGGCAGCTGAACCATATGTGTTAATAACCCCCATATGTGTTATAACAGTACTATAAATTAGATAAATACTACTGATTTTTTTTCCCTAACATCTCAGACAAAACATGATAATAAAGGTAATTTTAAAACACAGAACATTTTGGCAAAAATGATAGCCTATGTAGGATGCCAGGAGAAAGAGGGGCAGATTGAGGAAGAGCACAAGTAGGGGGTGTGCTTAGAAGGAGGACACCGGGGACAAACTGCCCAGCACTGGGTAAGCCCTCATGTTTAGACACCAGGTTAGTATTTTCCTATCACTCTTCAGATGATGGAAAAATTTGGCGAATTTGCATGGGCCGACCTAGAACTTAGGGTCGTCTATGAGAAAATGCACTTTGAGTTACAGTCAACACAATGGACATTTAAAACACAAACTGGAAGTGACTCAACTAGGTTTATTTAAAACAAGGGACTCTTGAAGCTAATTTTTCAACCATGACAAAGTATACATGAGAGCTCATTGGCCCTCTATGCTCCCCCTTCAGTAACAAGAGAGCTGTTCTAGAACCCCAGTTCTAAAGGGCTGAATTCTTCTCATGAGCAGCAATAGTAGTTAAATCTAGTTAAACTCTTCCCAGACAGCACCTCTAATGTGTTACTTTTCCCGCAAGGGATCCAAAGGAAGAGATGAACTAATAGATGAAGACTATTCTTTGTCCTGATATAGAAGAACTGAAACCAGTGTGAAATCCAGTACAGGGGCCAGTATATCCACAAGGCCAAAACCATGTTCAGTTTCTCCTCTCCAATCCATGAAAAATGAGAACAGGAAATCCTCTTAAGAGATGCAATGTCTCCAAATGGAACTAAATATTTTAAAAAGGAAGAACAGATAGAGAACTTGGCTATTGAAATGGCTTCTTTCCTAAATGGGATCTTTGATGTTTATCCAGGCTTGAGCTCCAGCTGAAACTTTTCCCACAGCGGGAACATTTATAAGGTTTCTCGCCTGTGTGAACTCTCTGATGTCTATTGAAGTTTGATCTTTGAATGAAGCTTTTCTCACAGATGGGACATTTATAGGGTTTTTCTCCTGTGTGGATTTTCTCATGGTGGCGCAGTCCTGAGAAGTCACTAAAGCCTTTCCCACAATAATCACATTTACAGGGCTTCTCTCCTGTGTGAATTCTCTGATGCTTCACAAAGTCTGAACTCCGCAGAAAGGCTTTTTTGCAGGTGGGGCACTGGAAGTATGTCTCTCCAGTGTGAGTTCTTTGGTGAAAAACCAGTTGAGAATTCCTATAAAAGGTTTTCCCACATTCCCTGCAGGTAGGGAGTTTCTGGGCCATGGGGGCTCTCAGCTGTCCTTTTGGGGAAGCCTCTCTCTTTTCCTCCAGCCACAGCATGGACAGTTCTCCTGGATGAGGATTAGGCAAGTGCTGGCCTAGCTGTCTCCCAGAATTCCTTTCTGGAGGAGAGAGCTGTCCCCCTGGGCCCTCACTCTGCAGGGTTTCCTGCACCTCAGAGAGATGCTCTCCTTCTCCAAAGTGTCTCTGCTCATCCTCCCTGAAGAGGTCACTCAGGGAAGCGTGAGGCGGTGCTGCTCCTGAGACTTGAAAGGAAGCACCGGGGGGCTCCTGATCCCTGTAGTTTTCCAAGTTTAGGTTTTCTTTGTCGTTCTCCTGTTTATCTCCTGAAAGAAGAAAGAACATTTGGAATAGTTCAATGAATGATATATTGTTTCCTAACTCCTATGTCAAAAAAAAGGATCAGCATAAAACATTACGTCTTTTTACCGAGAGGGCATCAGTGAGTAAGGAGGGCAAGTATGGCCCAGTAAGTGCCCCTGGCACTCACTTCACTGCACAGGGTCCTGCTATTCAAGTCAGTACTGGAGCCAAGGAGAATGGTCAGCAGCAGAGGGGGGCTCCAAAGAAGGAGTTCATAGAGGGATGTGGGTCCCAGCCCTACAAAGATGCAACACGCATTTCTCATGTCCCAAAGAAAACAAGTGTATTATAAAGATTACTACTTTAATAAATGATTGGTTTTTATCTTATTATATATATAAATATGATCACTTTGAAATTTGAAAATATTAAAGACAATTTGAAATACAATTTGAAAATATTAATTTGACAATTTGAAATTTGAAAATATTAAAAAAATATAAAGAAAAGCAAGTCAACCTCAATCATACTATTTAGCATTAACTACTAGGAGCCTATGTTTTCTTCTGGTCTTTCTCATTTAATCTACATGTGTGTAGTACATATGCAGGATGTATATACACATATGGACTTTTTTCTGACAAAAGTGATATCATATTATAGATACAATTCTACATACCTGGCTTTGTAGCATTTAAATTATATGTGGCGGTATTTATCAATTTAACATGGCTTCTCCCATTCACAAGTAACCAAAACAGTCATGAAATGCTTAAATGTCACTTTAGTAGGGTTTCACTGCACAGTGAGGCTGTAGTGTGAAGGTAGGTCCCTCAGTCTAATACTTCATCCAGCATTAACTTGTGTTTCATTAACTCACACAGAAGTTAAAATTTCATTTTTCTCATCATAACTGAGGTTTCTAGTTATTACAATTTAATGATGCATACAGAGTTTTATTTTAGAAGTAGAACATATTTTCAATTTTCATAAATTACTTTATTCCTGTAGATCTAAAGAGATTATTTACTGTCCTTTTTTCTCTATTAGTTAATGTCTTTCAAATTACCTGCTAGAGACACAGGAATCTGCCAGAGAATTAACGCTGAACTTTTGAAATCACAAAATCTTAGCATATACTCCCTGGCAAAGGCTTGTGGTTAGATAAGCCCTCATAAACATCATTTTAAAGAGCTAAATAAAGATCCATCATGGAAAAGCCATTACAGACATACGATAGAAATACAAAATGTAGGGCCTCCCTTTGGCTCAGCGGTTGAGTCCTGGGCTGCGAAGCTGCCCGCAGCCTCTGCAGCGTCGGTTAGATCCCCAGCCGCTAGCGAGGGTCCCACATGGCGCGCAGACCTCTCCTGCCGCGCCCACTGCTCCCTTCAGCAGTGTATTTCTTTGTCAGTCTGCCTGTTCTATTTCCCGCTCTGGCTTTGGTGAATTCTCTCACCCTCCCGTGCTTCTGACTGTACCCAGTGCTTGTATAAATAAATAAATAAAACTTTAAAAAAAAAATACAAAATGTACTTAAGAATTTTCCTACTGTGGAAATCTAAGTCGTTTGTTTTGTTTTGCTGCCATAAATAACAATGTGGGTGATGAGTTATTTTTCTTCATAAGTTTTTGCCCACATTTCTGATCAATACCTTATAGGAGATTTTCAAAATGGAATTACTGTGTCAAAAGGCATGAATGTTGTTATTAAGGTGCCTGACACTTGTAATGCCAAATCAATTTCCAGAATGTCTGTGTCATCCTCTAGTATGAGAAGCTGGGCAGAGGGCAGATGGGTGTTCAATACTCAAGCATGACTATGTCTTATTATTTGCCATTTAGACCAGTGAAAAATGGTTTTTTCATTGTTATAAATTTTTATTCCTTACTTATAAACTGCAGAATTTTTCACATTTTTGAGATATTTTCATACCCAAAACCGCCATCCACTTTTTATTGGGAAAGTCATTTTTTTCTTATCAACATGCA